TGACTGGTAGAGTCAAACCACTGACATTGCAGTTAGTAACTCAATGTTACTTCAAGTCTAGCAATTCCAAGTCTCCATAAGATTTTTGGAGGTTGGAATGGCTATTAGTGGAAATAGCTAAGTCACATAAGCCAAGCTTTCTTTTTGGCTTTGTAGTGACATCGCTTTCTGACCAAGCCTGTGTAACAGTTGCCTACATCTGAGGTACCCCTGGAGTTTTTCTTCCTGCCTTCCCCACCTCTGAGCAACTCTCTTTATTCCTTCTCCTAGTTTGTCAGGGATCCCCATAATGATTCTGTTTGACCCAACAATTTCCAATTCTTCTTAAAATGCTGGACACTAAGAGACTGCCCTTTTTTATCCTACTGGAAACCTCTAGAAATCAAAACTTGGGGGAAAAGAGAGAGTCTGGGGTCTTAAGGCTTGAAGATAAACAAGCAACCATCTAGCTGAGAAGCAACAAAGCCCACATAGAAGAAACACACCAGCTGGTGTGATTACGAGGTGTCAACGGGATCAGGTATCAGGCATCAAAGAAAAAAAAATCATATCATTGTGAATGAGGGGCAGTGAAGATTGGGGACCCAAAGCCCAGCTGTGGGCAACTGGACATCCTCTTACAGAAGGGTCGCAGTGAGGAGATAAGCCAGTCAGGTTGCAGTATAGCAACAATGAAACATACAACTTTCCTCTAGTTCTGAAATGCTTCTTCCACCCACTATCATGATCCCAATTCTACCTTACAAATCCGGCTGGACCGGACGACGTACACTGGTACAGATAGGAACTGGAAACACAGGGAATCCAGGACAGATGAACCCCTCAGGACCAGTGGTGAAAATGGCGATACCGGGAGGGGAGCGAAGGTGAGGGAGAAGGGGGGGAACAGATTACATGAATCTACATATAACCCCCTCCCTGGGGGATGGACAGCAAAGAAGTGGGTGAAGGGGACATAAGACGGTAAAAGATATGACAAAATAATAATAATTTATAAATTATCAAGGTTTCATGGGGGAGGGGGAAGCGGGGAGGCAGGGGTAAAAATGAGGAGCAGATACCAGGGGCTCAAGTAGAAAGCAAATGTTTTGAAAATAATGAGGGACACAAATGTACAGGAGTGCTTGACACAATGGATGTAAGTGTGGAATGCGATAAGAGTTGTACAAGCCCCAATTAAGTGATTTAATAATTAAATAAATAAAAAGAGATTTTAAAAAGAACTAAACATGTTCAGGAGAAATGTCCCAGTCACATACTGCACATTTCAACATCTATGATATAGGTCCTATTTAGTATTAATTTTTAAGGCATTATATCTTCTATACTTTTAATTCTCTTCAGTTTCTCCAAATGGTCAAGTTACACTTTGCCATTATTCTGTGGGGACAAAAAGAGGAGACAGAGTAGCTGAAAAACATTGGGGTCTGCCCGATCCCCAAGCAGAAAAGGCAGTATTCTATCTAATGGCCATGTTTTAAAAGTTGTAGAGGCCTGCAGGACGGGAGCACAAGATTACAATGGAGGAGCCCACATAGTGAGAAGCACCTATGTAGCATCCAGGAAATAAGACACAAAGTCCTTCCTCACCTGATACACATCCTAAAAGAATTTGGTCTTTCCAGGGAGCAGAGTCGAGAGGTTGCCATATACAAGATCTTAACAAATACAAATGCTGCTATTGTGAGGAGCTTTTGTTAATAACAAAGAGGCATCCAATATAAGGTAGTTTGGACTTAAACTGCATCTGTGACAGTAAGGTGTAACAGAGTTTTGACCTTCAGCAGAAGCACAAAGGCAAGGTGAGCAGGATTAGCTAGAGAAAAAGAAACATTTGTGAACACCCACTATGTGGCAGATATTGCATGAGGGCTCTCCCTCACTGCTTAGTCCCAACACCTGGATGATGCAAATATTTTCATGCTCATTGTTCAGATAAGGTTCAGGGAAATGAGTAACCTGTCTAGGATCACAGCCCTATTGGTGATAGAGCTAAGATTTCAATAGAGTCCCACCCACTTCTGTGGCTGAAAAATTTCCTGTGTGCTTCCAGCAGCTAATTACTATGTATCTATCCGTTGCCCTTGAGAAGTTCATATAATAGAATGATAGTGACTTATTGATTGATCTATGACTGACCGAAGAATTGTTGCCTATCTCAACTTCCTGCATGCTGGTTAAGTTAGAAAGCCCTAGATTCCCAAAAATTTATTAAGTTTATATTGTAACAAAGATCCCTGGTGGTACAATGATTGAGTGCTCAGATATTAAGTGAAAGGCTGGTAGTTCAAACCCACTCAGCAGCTCTAGGAGAGAAAGCCCTGGTGATGTGCATCCATAAAGATTACAGCCTTAGAAACCCCAAGGGGGGTTCTACTGTCATATGGGGTTGCTATGAGTCTGAGTCAACTCCACAATACCCAACAAGAGCATCAACATATCACAATGGATAGTGCAGTTGAGTCCATTTGCCACGTGGGTCCAACAGCAATTTAAAGGAAACTTGGAAGGATAACTGGCAGTGAGGTGGCTATGCATTGGGCTGCGATCCACATGATCAGCAACTCCACAGGAGAAACATTGGGATTTCTACTCTCATAACAGTTAATAGTCTTGGAAACCTACAGGGATCACGGTGAGTCAGCATTGACTCTATGTGGGGTACGTATGTAATCTGTTGTCAACTTGAGACTATTAAGAGTGAAGGGGTGGGGTTTATAGCCTATCAATCAGGTCACAGCTTGATGACCTCATTTGGAGGCACTACAGAGATAAATAGTTCACTGGAGGCCAGAGTCACTCTTTCTGCTATACATTCCCATTGGCAAGACACATGGAGCTACACTGATGGAGCCAGAGCCCTGGAGTTGGAGGAGACATGTGGAGACCCATGCCAGTGCTGATCCACAAGACTTTACACCCACTGGCCTGTGATCAAGAGGAATTTATAGACTGATATCGGATATAGGAGCTAATGTCAGACTTACGGACCTGATGTAGACTGGGCTGGGATGTTTTCTCAATATATACTTGCTCTTTTACATAAAGCTAATTATACACATATGAGTGTCTCTGGATTTGTTTCTCTAGCCAACCTGGATTAGCACACATGGTTTGGAGCCAAGTTAGCACTATGGGTTATACACTGGGCCAATAACTGCAAGTGTGGCAGTTCAAAGGCACCATCCACTCCTTAGGATAAAAATGAGAATCTCTGCTCCTGTAAAGTTTTACAATCTGGCATACCATATACTCATACATATGAATTTTCAGGGGCTGGTGGGAAACCCACAATGAGTCACAAACAACTGGGTAGCAGTGGTAATTTATTGTGAATGCTTTATATACAACTTCCATCAACCATCTGTCAAATTGTCCTAACGTGGTGGCTTGAGTGCTACTGTATTAGCACCAGAATTACAAGTAATAGGGGCTAATCTATGGGTAGACAGGTTATCACCGAACTTCCAGACTAAACAGAGGAGGAAGAAAGGCTGGCAATTTACTTCTGAAAAGTAACTTGTAACTAATGATGTAACACATTATATTTTGCTTTTAGGCTCTAGGCGGGATCAATTTCTGGAAGAAGAAATCACATCAGGTGAAGGAGATCAAAGAGGAAGGAAACCCACAGTGAGTTCAGTTGGCACAGTAGCCACAACAATGGATTCATACTTTCCAATGACTGTGAGGATGACACCAGACTGGGCAATATTTTGTTCTGTTATACATAGCTCACCATGAGTTAGTACCAACTTGACAGCAATAAACAACAGTATGTACCTCTGAGAAAGGAATAATGTTAATACCTCTTCACTGCAATGGCTAGGTTCTCCATTTCTGTGCTCTGCAATCTGATCTCCCGGACAAAGTTCTTGATAACATGTTCATATGGTTGAATTAGTCTTGGTTCCACGATGTTAATGTTTTGATACAGAGTACTGACTTGCTCTTTTCTGCAAAATAAATAAATTAATAAAAATAACTCAGTCAAATCAATCAAATGATGGAAAGGTATATATCCAGGACACTTTTAGAAAGTGATAGATCAGAACCAAGAAAGAGCAATGTAATGAATTAAACTGTGCCCCACCAAAATATGTGTCAATTTACTTAGGCCATGATTCCCAGTAGTGTAGGGCTGTCCTTGATTTTGTGATCTGGTATAAACATCCTCTATTTTGTGGTGTGTGGCAAATCCTAACCTCTATGTGTTACTACGGCATGATTAGTGTGGTGTGAAGCATACCCTTACTAAAATGCATGCCCAAAGGGCATAAATCATAGCCTTAACAGCCTTCACCACCTTACACAAATAAAATCCATGCTTCCACAATCACATCACATTCTTTATTTTACAAGAGATAAAGGGAGACAGAAAGAACAGAGAATGGAGGGAATCACTACAACCCAGAAGGAATAGCTAGGAGCAGAGCATGGCCTTTGGACCTGAAGTACCTGTGCTGCGAACCTCCTAGACCCAAAGGAAGGTTGATGCTACAACAAATGAAAATCTTCGAGGAATTCTGGGCCCAAAGATGTTGAAGGGAGGCAAGGACATTCTTTCAGAATCAGCAGAGAAAGGCTGCTTTGCCTTAGAAAAGTGGTTCTCAACCTGTGGGTCGTGACCCTTTTGGGGGTCAAACAATCCTTTCACAGGGATTATCTGATTTATAACAGTAGCAAATTTACAGTTACGAAATAGCAATGAAAAGAATTTTATAGTTGGGGGCTCACCACAACATGAGGAACTGTATTAAAGGGTCGCGAGACCCACTACCTTAGAGCTAGCAACATGAACATAAATTCCTAACTTCAATCTGTGAGAGAATAATTCTGTTAGCTACTGTCATCCTTTCATGGTCTTTCTGTTACAGAAGCAGCAAACCTAGAATGCAGGGAAAGACAGAAGCCAGAGATCCTGCTGCATTGACCTCCATAGTAGGAGACAGTGGTTTATGAGGGCAGCGGAAATGAATAGGTTGGGGTTGATAGGGGCAGATTCATTTTATCAATACTGCTTTTTAATAAACAGGTAAATACATTTCAGGAAAAAAGAATAGGCATAATTTAAATCACTTACTTAATGTTTTACCAGCCTCTAACACGATGTGTCTTAGTCTTTATGCTTATAAGAGTTAATACATCTGTTACTCTATATCCGGTGATACTCAGATCAGTTTGTGCTTTCAGCAGTCCATAGTTTCCATATTCTTCTCCAGCACCACAAGTGCATGGCTTCTTCTTCGAGTTTCCTTATTCAATATCCAACTTTCACGTGCATGTGAGGTAAGTGAAAATACCAATGCTTGGGACAGATGAATTTTAGTCCTCAGAGTAACATCCTTGCTTCTCAACACTTGAAAGAAACCTTATGCAGTACACTGACCTAATGCAATGCCTCTTTTGATATTTTAACTGCTGCTTCCATGAGCATTGATTGTGGATCCAAGAAAGGCAAAATCATTGATAACTTCAATATTTTCTCTGTTTATCATGCTGTGATTTATTGGTACAGTTGTGAAGATTTTGGTCTTCTTTACATTAAGCCACAATCCATACTGCAGGCCACGAGCCTTGACCTTCATCAGCAAGTGCTTCAAGTCCTCCTCACTTTCATCAAGCAAGGTTTTATCATCTGTATATCACAAGGCTGTCAATAAGACTTCCTCCTGATGCCACACTCTTCTTCATATAACCCAACCTCTGATGATTTGCTTAGAGTACAGTGAGAGGATACAACCCTGCAGCACACCTTTCCTAATTTTAAACCATGTGGTATGTTCTTGTTCTGTTCACACAACTGTCTCTTGATCCATGTACAAGCTCCACAGGAGCACAATGAAGTGTTCTGGAATTCCCATTCTTCTCAAGGTTATCTAGTTTATTATGACCCACAAAGTTTGAATAGTCAGTGAAACACACATAAACATCTTTCTGGTATTCTCTGCCTTGAGTAAAGATGCTAGCATGAGCAGACTTAATAAGCACAATTATTCTTCAAAGTCTTATGATTAATGGGCTGTATAGTATGTCACTTGGCCACCTTACTCCACCAAGGACCATCTGATCTGTCCTGCCTTCTAGCTTTATAACAGTTAACACAAGTTGTAACTGTTAAGACAATTTATCAACATTTTCTAAAAACAAAGAACACTTATACCTGTTAAAAGAAGAAATCCCAACAATTCAGGTGATATACAATTTTTATAAGGGACCCTGTTGGTGCCATGGTTCAGTACTTAGCTGCTAACAGAAAAGTCAATTGTTTAAATCCACCAGCCAGTCTGCAGGAAAAAAATGTGACAGCCTGCATCCATAGAGATATGCAACCTTGTAAATTCTATGAAGCAGCTCTACTGTGTCCCATAAGGTCACCAGAAGTCAACAGAATCTGTGTAACTACTGGTTTGGTATTTTTTGTTTTGTTTTACTATCATTTGTGGCTCACATAATTTATGATAATGCCAGCACTATAAAACTCTACCAGTTCTCATACAGTTTAAAATCTTGTGGTTGTTACTATTTGGTATTATCAAGTCAGCTCTGGCTCATAATGAACCTATGAACCACACAATGGTCCTGCACCAGGTTCACAATTGTTACTGTGCTTGTTCCCTTTGTTTCATAAACTGTGCCAATTTATCTCCTTGAGGGACTTTGTAGTAGTTACATAATCTGGTGTCAATTTGAGAGGATTACAAGTGAAGGGGTGGAGTCTGGCCTGTCAATCAAGATATAACTAATAAGGCCTCAGTGTAGCATGACCTTCTCCTGAGAATTCTGGGAACTCCTGTATTTCCTCCTAGGAGGGGAAGACACTTCTCTCTCTCTGCTCACTCCATGAGATGACGTTCTACTGACAAGATACATGGCGCTACGCCCTGGGAGCTGAAGAAGCCACATGGACCTACCCTGATGCAACCAGACCTCTGGAGCTGGAGAAGCCATGTAGAGACCCCTACCAGCACTGAGATGCTTACAATGCCACTTGATCCAAAAGACTCCCAACCGACTGGCCTGTGATCTTCCTGCATTTGGCATAATTGCATGTATTTCGTGAGTGTGAAGAGGACTTTATGGACTGCTTTTGCACTAATACTGGACTTATGAGCTTGATCTGGACTGGGCTGGGCCATTTTCACAATATTCAATTGCTCTTGTATATAAACCTCTTTCTAATACACATATGAGTTTCTATGGATTTGTTTCTCTAGTCTCCCCAGACTAGCACAGCTTTCCTCTTTCCTTTTTCCTGATCCTCTATTTTATCAAGCATGATGATCATTTCCAGGGACTGTTCTCTACTGATATCCTATCTAAAATATATAATACAAGGAGTATTCTGGCTGTACTTCTTCCAAGAAAGATTCTGCCAGTCCCTGGTACTTTCAATAACTCAAACGCATCAATTCCTCTTCAGTCTTCCCTATCAATTGTCTAACTTTCACATGCACATGAGGCAACTGAAAATACCGTGGCTTGGGTTGGGCAAGTGCACCTTAGTCTACAAAATAAAATCCTTACTCTTCAAAACTTAAAGAGGTCTTGTGCAGCAGATCTGCCCAGTGTTATGCATGACTAAATTTCCTGATTGTTGCTTCAGTGACCATGGGTGATGATCCAAGCAAAATGATATTCTTAACAACATTAATCTATTCTCCATTTATCATGATCTTGTCCATTGGATCAGTTGTAAGGATTTTTGTTTTCTTTGCATTGAGTTGAAATCCAAACTGAGCTCAATAATAATCACAGTAAATCTATGACTTAAAAATCATCCTAGTGCCTTGAATAATTCTTAGGTTCAGTGATCTTTTGCTATGGTTTTATAGTTAATATCCTGACAATGCAAAGTCTTTAGGTCCCCTGCCCTGAACATAAAGAGATTCCTCTTTTCTGAGTACTAATCCAACTATGACAAAGCTTTTGTGTAGGCTACTACAGGAATCAAGATGTTTGAGGAACTTCACAACCACTGATCATGCCAGACCACAGATAAGCACTTGGAAATAATTCACATACAATCTGTACCCATCTACTTGATGGATATTCTCTGGGTTTCTTATTCTGATGAAGTCAATTAACTGTGCTATGGGCCCTGGTGGCATAGTGGTTGCACACTGGGCTGCTAACTGCAATGTCAGAAGTTCTTAAACACCAGCCTCTTGGTAGGAGAAAAACTTTCTTATTCTAGGCTTCTAAGCCTTCTACTTCTGTGAAGGGTCATACTCTCAAGCCCACAGGGGCCATTTTGTCCTGTCCTATGGGATCACTATGAGTTGAAAATGACTCAATGACAGTGTGTTTGCTTGGGGTTTTATGGGGACAAAAGAAAGGCCCTAATAATCAAAAGGCTGTGGATATAGCCAACTCATAACTGGGTTAGAGGATACAGTTAAATATAAGATTTATGATTGCAATAAAAATCATTCTATTTACTAAGAGCTCACTATGTGCTGACATCCAGGGTAGAGCAAATGGTTAAGTGTTCAGCTCCTAACCAGAAAGGAGGTTCAAAGCCACAGAAAGAAACCTTGGAAGCCAGATCCAGAGACCTACTTCCCCAAAAGAAACCATTAATAGCCTGCAGAGGACAGTTCTACTCCATGACACCTGGGATTGCCATAAATCAGTCAGAGTCAACTTGATGGCAACTGGTTGGGTTAGGTTCACTATACACCAGATTTTAGGCTAAGTGATATGCCTGTGCCTTAGCTCTCGTTGTTTGAAACTACCTCCTGAATTAAGTATTCTTACAACTCCACTTTACAAACCCATCAGGTAAAGAGCCCAAAGTCACAAAATGATTAATTGGTACAGTTGGGTTTCAAACTCAGCCTGAGGCTGAGAACAAGCCATCAACTGCAACATCACATTGCATTAAATATTTGCCCTCTGGCAGACAAACAAAAAGTAGGAGTGGGTAGAAAGATTCAAAAATCAATCCATAGAA